CACTTCAAGGTTTCGAATTTAGCTTTCATGCTGGTGCGTGAAATTTTTAACTATTTTCCAATTTTTGAACTATTTTTGCATAGGAGGAAGTACAAAGCAGTGAAAATCATTAATAGGCAATCGTTCGATGGGCTGAATTGTACAAAACGCATGATCTCACCGGCTAGTCTGGTGCTCGTTGCTATTTATTTCTTATTGTATTGAACATGACATTCTAGCGAAAGTCAAAACGTATGTATATTTTGCTGAATAAGAGGTGCGTGTTTCAGTAGAATTGCTCTCCAAATGATGTCACTTCTGCTAAAAGCGTTTATCCGGTAGTAAAACTCGTTGCTCATGTCTTCAGTAACTTCTTACTGAAGATAGTTTTAGAGTAGTAAGCAGATTGCAGCATCCAGATTGACCCTGGAAGTGCAGATGGCGAAGGTGCGAAGGAATTCAGGAAAAATGAAATGGTGTAGGAAAGCTGCTCCAAATCGGGAGGGTCAAATTCTGAAATAATTTTTGTGCCAGGCATGAAGGGTCGGATTTATGCTGGGCAATGCACAGCATTACTTGTATTCCTTAATTATTTGATATATATGCTTTAGTTAATTGATGCCGGCAATCACCACAGCCCCACGATCAAAGCACGCTGCGAACAGTTGCGCAATCGCCTCGAAGATGTCGCTGAGCTGGCGCGGCGTCGTTTGCAACGTCTCCAGGACAACAGCGCCTATCTACAGTTTATGTGGAAATGCGATGTGGTCGAAAGCTGGATTGGTATGGGTTTCCTAAGCTCTCTGGTCTGATATTGCAAAAAAACATTGGTATTTCTGACGATTAATTTAGCTGTACGAGAGTTTTAATTTCGAATTTCATAAGGCTTCGGACTCGTTTTTTCTTTTGATCCAATTTCTGGTGTTGTTTTTGATTTCGTTTATTGCCTTAGTAAAGCCATCTTTACGAAACAGCATGTTGTAAAGATAGGTCTGGCGGCAAGAGGGGGAGGGGAAGCATCTTGGTTGTCGTGGAAAAGCACAGTTTAATCATTATTTATTTATGTCAAGGTAGGTACTAGTGATCTCAAACTCAACCCCGAGGTAAACGTGGTACCCGCGTACGGGCCCGCCAAAATTTTTTTCGGGTAAGTCCATAACTCGGGGATCTGAGAAGCTAGAAAGCTGAAATTTTAGAGGAATGTTCCTCGTCCAAGCAGGTGCTAATGAGCGCAAATCCAGCCTCCGGGTAAGCGTGGTACCTACGTACAGGTCCGTGAAAAGTTCCTTCTGGGTAAGTTACTTACTTGAGAACGTGAGAAGCTAGAAGACTGGAATTTTGAAGGGATGGTTCCTGACAGTTCTGGCGGCCAGT